TAACAACAACAGCCAGAGCTCCTTTCCCTGTAGTAGCTAGCTACCAGTAATTATGTAGGTTTATAGATTGATAGATTTTTCTGTCCTGTGTGTCTGTCTTCATATGATCTCTCTGCCTATTCTGCTGTTCTTATTACTCAGCAGTGATTAGGGATTAAGACCCACTCTGTTTTAATATGGAGTTTTGGTGTAGTGCTGCCGATAATGCACTGGACAATAAAGTTGGTTTAAACTTCAAGGTCAGCGATTCAACCTCACCAGCCACTCCTCAGAAACTCTATACAGGGTTGCTATGAGGCAGAACCAACTCTCTGGCACTTAACAACAGCATGGACGATTTTAGTATGGCCTTATAACAAAAAAAAAAAGAAAAGAAAAGAAAATTCTATTTCCATGCAGGATTCCATCCACGGGTAGAGAGGCCAGGAATTTCAATGCATATTTTTTGGGGACACAATTCAGTTCATAACAAGCGTCTTACAGTTTATCTTGGAATTAGGAGTCCTTTGGTGTTGCAAGGAGTTTCTGGACAATGCAAATTGTAAATAAACTTGGCTGCTAATCAAAAGTTTGCAGTTCAGGTCTTCCTACAAGCACCATGGAAGAAAGACTTGGCCCTCTACTTCTGAAAAAATCAGTCTTTGACAACTCTATGAAACATAGTTTTACTCTGACACACATGGGATTGCCAAGAATTGGAATTGTCTTGACAGTAACTGGAAGTGGAAAGACAGCGTATGTGATCCAGGTTTTGTGGTATAATGTTAGAGCTACGTGCTAGAATAATACAAAGAATGGTCTGATAGAATGAGAGTGTATTTGATCAAGAGATAGAAAATTTTATGGGGCTAGTAGTGAATTCCACTTACTAGTTTTGTCGCTAATTTCTAGGCTGTAGCTTTTCTATTTGAAGAGTATGTACATGTTTTTACTGTTATTAAGTGCCATTGAGTCTGTTCTGACTCATAGTAACTTTGTATAGAATTTCAGAGGAGTAGCAGGTGGGTTTGAACTGCTGACCTTGTGGTTCGCAGTCCATTGTCAATCTTCCACACCACACAAGAAGTCCTGAGTATGTGCATTGTTGTTGTTGTTGTTGTTAACAGCTATTGTACCAACTCATAGCAACCCTGTATAGCGTTTCCAAGGAGCAGTTGGTGAGCTTGAACCGCCGTGTTGTTGTTGTTGTTGTTAACAGCTATTGTACCAACTCATAGCAACCCTGTATAGCGTTTCCAAGGAGCAGTTGGTGAGCTTGAACCGCCGACCTTGCGGTTCAAAGCTACCTTGCAGTCCAGTACATTAACACACAGAGCCACACCAGGACTCCGAGTATGTCCATAGGGCACAGGTATTTGAACATGTTTTTCTCTAAGGATTGTAAACCTGAGAGGATAAGGGAAAACTTACTTCAGTAATGAGCAGTTTTTCAGATAGTACTTAATGAACTAGTGTAAGATATTTGAAGTGTTTGCTGGACCTCTTTCTCAATTCATATTTCTGGGATTTTCTCTTTAATAGGAAATCAAACCCCAAAGCCATTATAACCATGGATATGGTGAACCTCTTGGACGGAAAACTCACATTGATGATTACAGCACTTGGGACATAGTCAAGGCTACGCAGTAAGGTTTTTGTTATAGTTGTGCTTTCTTCTTAGAGATCTTTATTGATTTAAGCAAAATATGAACATGTTTTCTCCTAAATAAATTTTAATGGGGAAAAGTTAATATATCAATTAAATAGTTTCTTGTCTATAAATTAATTTAACATGTTGTTCCATTTGCTGTTGGTACTTGCTGATATTTCCAGAGGTTTGTTATTATGCCCTAAGGATTAATGATGAAGAATTTTTGGTATTAAAGAACTTGAAATAAAAAAAATAGTATATATCCAGTATTTCAGATTAGAAATAAAATGTAGTCAATGCCCTTTATTTTTAACCTGTGCTAAGTGAAATATTACAGAACCATCTAAAATAATGATCTTTACAATGTCAGACTTTTTCAAATTTTGATAAAATATTATAATTAAATGTGCAAAGATCTTGAGTTAGAAAACCAAAAGGAAAGAACATGCTCAGCATTTTTCAAGCTGAAGGAAATGAATTAAAAATACAAGCCTCAACTTTCAGTATTGAAGGATTCTCTGGGCAAAATATTGAGTGATACAGAAAGCATGAAAAGAAAATGGAAGGAATTCACAGAATCATTGTACCAAAAAGAAATAGTCGATGTTCAACCATTTAAAGAGGTAGCATATGATCAAGAGCAAATCATAAAGGAAGGAATCAGATGCGTTGAAGTCATTGGCAAGGAACAAAGCGGGGGAATAGATGGAATACAAATTGAAATCTTTCAACCAACTGATGTGGCGCTGGCTTCACTCACTCGTCTATGCCAAGAAATTTGGAAAAAAATCACCTGGCCAGTTCACTGGAGGAGACGTGTATTTGTGCCCATTCCAAAGAGAGGTGACCCAATAGAATGTGGAAATTAT